ACTTTATATAAGTAATAATTTGAATAGAATTGTTCAAAATCATATGCTAGAATAATAATTATATAATTTTATACATTTAAAATGTTAAATATATGCAAGATATACATATATTTATATATTTACGGATCGGATCGGATATCCGCTTCCCAAAATTTTACTATTTGTGATTTGCTTCGATTTTAACGGATATTGAATTTTAGTATTTGCTTTGATTCGAAAGTTTACGGATATCCGGAATTTTCGGATCGAATCGAAGCGAATAACGAATCGAATCAAATATAACGGATAAAATGCCCAGCCCTAGGTCTGACCAAGTTGTAAACTGCTCTCTAGTCATAATTATTAAGCTCAGTATCTTTTTCTTTAATATAATTATGATTCATATGAACCATCAACCAAAGTTCACGCTTTACAGTAATCCTTGGAATTTGTGGAACCGAGTAGTCAGTTTGTATTTTTGTTTTGTTTTATGACATCTAAAAAGTATATCCTCAATTATCTAATGTTAAATGATACTTCATTCAGTTGTCTATACTCGAACTCTTGATCTGTTGATCATCAAAGTTATCTAATGTTAAATGATACTTCATTATCGCATTTGTAGTTAGGGTACCTCAAACGGGAGTTTTTAGAAACGAGTCTTTAGGAAAAAAATAATTAAATAATCAGTATATTCTACAAAAAGTTAAGGATTCGATCCTTAAAATTTCTAATAATGATTGTTTCTTAGCGAATGATTACACTATTTGCGGGTCTACAAGACATGTGACAGCCTGCGAATGATCATTTTTTTTTAAAGATCCGAAATATCTTTACTAAATCCGAAATACATTTTTTCTTAAGGACTCCTATGAGTCTCACGGTTACGGATGCTCTTACATTCTATGCATGAGACTAATTATAATCGTAAACCACGCCATGGAAACATGCATAGGTCAACAAATATCCTTAACAATCCAATAAAACAAATCAACAAAAAATATCAAAACGAGAATTGATAATCTCCGATCGCCTATGTGTTATGGATCGTATGTTATTGAAAATTATATATTATATAATAATTAAGAAAACAAAAGTTGAAGTTAGAAGAAGTCGCGAAGGGAAGGAAGCTTGATCTCACCCTGAGTAGAGACAGGAATGGTAATGTCACCAACAACAGGAATATCGAAGGTCAGTCCAATGTCAAGTTGATAGTCAATGTCCCAGTCCGAGCCAATGTCCGTCATCAGACTAACCGCTATGCTATAAGCCACCTTAACCGGTACATCCAAAACCGTTGTATTGTTTCCAACCAACGAACCCGGGTCCGGTATTGTCCCCGACGCTATCGTCCTATGCAACCACAAACGTCATTAGTTAGCATGATAAATAATACATTAACAACATTACACATTGTCTTTCTTCAAAAAAAAACAGTACACAATGTTGGAAATGAGTTTTGCTCGCTCTTTAAGTTCTGCGATACTAGTATTATGTTTACATGTGTAAGATACTAAGATATAAACGTTATGGGTTCAACATGCATAGATGTTGGTTATCATCAATGAATATATGCACATATGGATAACTAAACTATTGCATATATAGATATGGAATATGCATTGGTATTAGGCTAGATCATGTATAGTATACGGATTATTTTTATTTTCTTTTTAAAAACATAGTATACGGATTGATTTGTGTAACAAATGACTTGAAAAAGGGAAACCTTGTGGCACTCTTGAGGACGTAAGAGATCTGGCAAATAGGGATGGTCTGAGAGTAAGGATTTTTGACAGAGACCTTGGCGTGATAGTCTACACCTTGACGTGTCACGCCTTTGAAATCGACGTTGTCCACGGCGGCTTCCGGGGTCGGAACATTAGCTAGCTTCTCCGCAAAGAAACCTTTGGCTTTGTCCAACAAGCCTGAAATCATCGACCCTTTTTCTTCTACCTCTTTTTGCTCCGCTGATGCCATTCTTTCTTTATCTCTTTTTGCTTGATGTTCCGTTTTTTTACTTCGAAATGATCAGATCTCTCTTATATATTTATTCTTTTTTCCCTTAATTGCTAATCCATATATATTGGCTAATTAACTACTAGTTTGTGGCTTCAGCTACATCACGACTTTTTCGTCTCTTTTTTTCTTTAATTTTACCTATTTTAAGGACACTGATACAAACAATAATCATCACTCAACAGATTATATATACACCATGAAATTTATCTTAGAAATGTGAAGGAAGAAAGATTATATTGGCTTTTGACTAGTAACGTTGCATGCACATTCATGCATAACAATGGTGAAAATATAGAGTTGACTAATGAAAAACAAGTTCTTTAACCAAACCAACTGATGCTCAACCGAAAACAAACCCGGTGTTATTCGGCTACCAGACGATATAGCTCTTAAATCAATAATTCATTTCATTCAGTGATTCAAATTACAGTTTATTCATTTTTTTATGGTTATCTGATTAAATACTGTTTAAATCAGATTGAGTTTGAGACTATATGAACACATTGACGAATATGATTAGCAAGACGAATATGATTAGCAAGGTTGCTATTCGTTGCATGATACGGATCAAAGTTAAATATACACACGTATATGATGATTATGTGGTGTTAGAGAGGAACTGCATAAGCTCCTCACAAGGATGGTCATGGATCCTTCGAAAGTTGTCTCCACAATGCTCGTTTCCTTCGACAACCTATGAACTTGCTTTTTTCACGTTTCACATGTGTTGTGTGCATCTGATAAGAGCTCTGTTTGGGAATCGTGACAAGATTCATTAGAGGGTCCTCTCCTGTGATGTATATGCGCGATAAGTATAAAAAAGATTGAGAAGCCAATCAACTACCATTTGCCGTCAACGAAAAGAAATTATTCGTCTAACCTCACACCACATGTGTGTGACTAAAAAACAAAGACATGATTTGGGTCTAGTTATTACAAAGACTTTCATACACCATATGTAATGTCTTAAAAAGTCTTTCTATCTTCCTCAGGACAACCAGAAGGAAAGAAAAAAAGGAGTTTTTATTTGGTGGTGTGAGCGACTCTCAGTCTCAGCTAATGATCATCTTGTTGAAGAACTCAGCTTGCTCAGGGAAGAATTCCAAAAGCTCATCTTTGGTTACCCACACAAAGTCCTCGCAGTTACTTATGTTGTACTTCGATGCTGCTACTACACTGCATTTGAAGAAGAACCTCTACACAAATAACAACAAAAGAAGAGAAGAAAAGAAAAGGTTCAAAGAATCCATCAGATTAAACAATCATTGAGCCTTTTTGTTTGTTTGTTTCTTTCTTTCTTTCAAAGCTTTGCTATTTACCTTGTAAGATGGCAAATCAGGTGTTTCTTCCGTAGGTTGTATAGCCATGTGAGCCATGGGAGCATTTCCAACAAAGTATGTGTGAGTCAGGTCTCCTAAGACTGACTTCAAAGCAGATTCAGCACACTGCAAATTACCAAATGTCATTTAAGAACAATATACACAAGAAGAACGGACACAATAGTGTTACAGATTGAGATAGAGCCATCACCTTGCGAAGTGTTGGCTCAGAATCATACACTTTTTCAGGGAAATGCCAGACAGGTTTGTCACTTGTAGCTCCAAATGGCTTGCCGAAGATGAGAAGATACAACTTTTTGTCAAGAGCTCTATATAATGACCTAATAATTGCAAGCAATTTCAAAAGAGTAAGCGAAAGAGAACATAAATCCATGTCGATTTTAAAGGTGTGGACAAACTTACTTCCTATCGTTATTCTTGTCAGCCTCTGTGATTCTAGGAGCAGGCACATAATCCATTTGATATTCACCCTTGGCTCTGTATTCACACATCCAAAAGATCAACCAAATATGTATTAGAAGTTTCATTACAGTTTGAACAACTTTAAATAGAACCAGAAATGGTCATAACCTTCACTATGTAATATCTACAAGTGAGCATATGACAGACAGTACTGAAACTTAAGGATACTAAATAAACTAAGCACCTGAAACTCACAGAATCTACAAGATAAAACGCCTCTATCTACAGTTCTTTGCTATTGTTATAAAGTTTGAAAGTTTATGACAGAGTTATGAAACCGTTGACCAGATGTATGCATTCAGACACATAGTGATCTCTAACAAAACTGAAACTTTGATAACGGTCTGAATCTATACATTATTATTACACATGTAAAAAGTAGTAAAGTAAAGGAATGAAGCATACCTGTTCTTAGCAATGTCCAAGAACTCATCTGGGTATCTACGACGAAACTGCTGTTCCCAATTGAATCTGCAACAAAAAAAAAATCAAAACCCCAAAGCTGAAGAGAATGTAATAAAGACCACTCACAAACACACTTAAATTGAGCTGAAAACAGAGTGTAATAAAGGAGAGAGCTTTACTTGAACTCCTGAAAAGCGTAGACAGCAGGATCTGGTTTTGGTATGACAACGCGTAATCTCTCGAAAAGCACCGAAGCTACGATCTTTTCGGAGGAGCTCGTGCAATACCCTCGTAGCCTGCTCTCTAAGAGAGGCTTAATTAGTGACTGAGATCTCAATCTCTGCATTTTCTCTCTCTTATCTCAAAATGAGCAAACGAAAAAAGGAGTCGACTTTGACAGAACAGACACAGAAGGAAGAGAACGCCGGCTTTGAGGGTTTTTCTTCTCCCTGTGATTTGTATAATTCTTGGTTTTACTTAAACCGGAATCCGGTTTGCTATTAAAATACAAAAATTAAAAAAGTTTGCTCCGTTGCCGGGACTCGAACCCGGGTCTCTCGGGTGAGAGCCGAGTATCCTAACCAGCTAGACTACAACGGATTTTGATAAAAAACCAACTCTAATCATTTATATTCTTTGATTTGATGGCTCATTGTCCTTTTTGTTTTGTGAATGGCTAAACATTCTTGTGAACCATACCACACCACCATGGAAGTTTTAATCAAGCTGCTACCTGGTGTGGGTGAACCGAAGAAGCTGAAGATCAAGGTTTACTCTTTAACACTTCTCCGATCTGGAAGGATGTACCTTTTTCTTAAGCTGAGGTCATGAGACAAAGATGATAGCATGTTTATGTGCCATGTTTATTTGTAATAGTTACAGGTACCCCATATGAGAATCAGAAGTTAATTAACATTGCTATCATCATTTTTTATCCATCACGGATAGGTCTCAGAAGTTGCTTGAACATTTGGTCTAAGAAGTTGCACAATTTGTATTGTGGAAACCTTCTTAGTACAATTGTTTGATTAAAGTTTAAACGATTTTGCATTAGTAAAATCATTCTAATATGCAAATCAGTTTCATTTATTAATTAGAGCAAAAACCAGATTTTAGGTAACAAGAAACTGAAATTAAAAAATTAGAGGTGACACGTGATCTAGTCACTGAAAATCGTAACTGGTAATTTCTATCAACTTGTTTTTTTTGTTCAAAAGAAATGATATCATTTTATTAGATCATTTTCGACTCTACTTCATTTTATACTCCAAACATCATTTCGAAATAATTTTTTTTCTAACCTCATTCCAGTTTTAACTCCAAAATGAAAATAATAGCTAGGATTACTTTATTTATGAAATAGACTTACATATTACTCCATGTTAGAATTGAATTTTTTATTTATAAAATAATCCTTTAACTTTCTAATATTATTATTTTCTTATCATAAAAGATATAATAACATAAAACAAAATATTTCATTATTTAATAATTTAACATGAAAATACATGCTCCAATTAAATTTAGAAAAGAAACTCCACTTCCAGATATCGAAATTGCAGAAGATGAAGATATGTTTTAGTGAATGAATCAGAAAATGAAGACATGTTTTAGTGAATGAAATAATACAGTGGAAATGTCTTAGTAGTCATTAACGCGCACCAATGTGCCCAATCACTAATAAAATGAAAATATGTTTTAATAAATAAATCTGAAAAATGAAGGAAAAAATAAAATTTACTTTATTAATAAAATGATATCTTTTTTAAAAAATTGATTATTTTTAGTTTGAGTAAATTATATGATATGAAAAAGAAAATATTTATAGAAAATAATTGGATACGAAGAAAAATAACTAAAAGGTAGACATCTAGCTGTCTAGAAATAAGATCATTATATTTAGTTTGTATATTCTATATTTATTTATTTATTTGATCTAAAATTTGATAAATATAAATATTTATAATTTTGATGAAAATTACTATATATTAAATTTATATATTCTATTTATATGTTTCATATGGTTCTAAACATGAAAATGTATTAATATGATACATAAAAAATATTAACATACTTTATAGCATAAAACAATTTAAAAATTCTGATTAATATTTGATTTTTTCACTTGGCTAGCTAGTTAGTACATTTCCAAACAGGGGGTAAAACTGACATATTTAACTTGAAAGTGTCTTAATCTGAAGTGCCTTGTGATATAAGAGTTGATATAATTGTCACAAGTGACTTTTAATGTAATTTTCTTTTTTATAGTATTAAACTATATATCTTAGTGGTCCCCACGCGCTAAACCAACGTGACGATGTGAGAGCGGTGGTACTCACGCATTTTCAGTGCGCGTTTAACCCTAAACAAACGTATTACAAAGGCGATACGCAAATTTACGAGCTAAACTTGAACGTTTGCAATAGCTTCATGCAACACAGCCACACGAAATTCATCACAGAAATGGTTAATTACAAAATAGGCAAGTATACAATTTCTTTTATATATATATTTATATATATATATATATACAATTTCTTCTATATTTTCATAAGTTAAACTTTTAAATATTTTTTTGATTAAAAACCTTTTAAAATTGTTTTACAACTAGAGCTTGATTCACATATCCGTGCGAATATTTATTTTTACTTTTATATATAAAAATATTATGTAAATGTTTACTAGTTAATATTTTAAATATTTATCATATTTTAAATTTTTATAAATATCATAGTAAAATATTTTACATATTGAAAACAAATATTAACCCGTGTACTATATTAAACTTCCGACAAACATTGAACCATTGATATATTTGAGTAATGTCTATTTTAACACGAAATCATTTTTCACCTATATAATATTTTAAATATTTTGATATATAGATCATATGACGATATTTAGATATATCAGAAAAAATATTTCATTATAAACATTAAGTATTATTCTACAAGTAATTTTATGATATTTAAAAATTTAGATAGATAAAGCTATTGTTGAAAATAATTAATAGTAACTAAAATGAATAAAATATATTTTAGAAATGTTTGAAATATATATATATATCAGGAAACATTTAGTTAGATTAAAATGAGTATTCGATTATAATAAATTCATATTATTTTGTTACAAGTAATCAGTACTACCCCTACGTTTTCGGTTGAAACAAAATAAAATGACTTCCTTTTTTTTCTAGTAATAAATTTACCTTTAAGTTACTAAGAGATATCGACTCCCGAACATTCTTGGATTTAAATTATACATAAAGAAAATGATATACTGGAGTTAGTATCGGTAGTCAAGTCAACAAAACAAAATTTGATTATCACCAAGATAACTCCACCCCGACACCTTTTTATTTTGGTTCAACACTATTCTCACAACTTAAGGTCCAAGTGATTTCCACCATTATTCCCCGAAACTTAATAAACAAGTGTTGAAAGTTCAACTGATCGATTGTTTCCAATAAAATAAGCTGACCCACAGCACTTGACCTGAGAAATTCACACGTAAATGGTCGGTAAGCTCCTTGCAGTTTAAGTTGCAATGGGGGCTGAAAGATACCTCTTGATGTGTGTGTGTGTCTCTCTCTCTCTCTCGCTCGCTCGCTATATATATTGCTCATCTCCTGCATATTGGAAAGAGAAAATTAACACACTCAAAAAAATAGAGAGAGAAGAAAAAAACAAGTAAGAATCCATGGGAGAAACTTTGAATAGCGATGTCGTTTGTGTTGCGGTGAATCAAGATGTTCGAGAAAGTAAACTAAATTTGTCATGGACATTGAAGACTCTTCGTGCTAAGAAGATTTGCCTTCTTCATGTTCATATTCCATTTTCGCTGAACCCTTCTTGTAAGTGTATATTTTGTATAAATTCTAAAAAGTATATATATATATATATACATTCATACGTTTGATTTTACATTTTTTTTTTGGTTTGGTTGGTTCAAAAACCATAAAAATTCATGCACCAATAATACATGATACTTTGAGGAATTGATTGCGTAACTATCTGAATGATGCTATTTTTTCTCTGGGTATATAATATTCATCTGAGAATATGTTTATATGAACATATTAAGGAAAAATATCCCAAATATCCATCTGTATATTGATAGAAAAACACATGTACCAATCATCATGTCAGATTTTAAGAAATATATATTACCAACCAACAAAATCCTAGTTACATTTAATAAATCATGAAACAATCACCATCTTAACTTTACAATTTAGGAACAAATTTCGTAGAAATCTCGTCATACTACCTAAACAAATCATGTTTTGGGATTATACGGCTAGTATACGACCCCATTTGTAGTTAAGTCACACATCATGTTTTTATTTATTTATCAAATCACTTGATTTTCGATTGCTACGGCACTTTGTCTGTGTCTTTTCTCTTCTATATTTTCTTTTAAAATATAATAATTATACTATAGAATCATACGTTGGAAAAGTCCACCTTCATAATACAATTGCTCTAATTTAGAAGAAAATATAGAAAAAAAATTAAGTTGGATTGGAGATTATTCTAGAATTGGAATCTGACTTTATTCGTGTAGCATGTGGGCTTGATGAAAGTGAGATCAACGCAATCCAAGAGTCAGAGCGGAAAACTTCTTATAAGAGCCTCTACAAGTACCGTGATATCTGCACAGACGAAGGGGTAAGTTAAATTCCTTTGCAGATACAACTGTGTCAGCAATGGCAATGTTGAAATCTAGGCAAAAAACTCAAAACTACTATTGAATGGAGCTTAAATGAAAAAAATGACAGATTTTTGAAAAGATTTATGTAATATATTGGTGCAGGTTAATAAAGAAGATGTGGATATGTCACTGATATCAGGATATGATGTTGGTGAAGGGATTGTGAAACTCATCAATCAAAAGAATATCAAGAAGCTCGTTATGGGAGCAGCAGCTGATCCTCATTATTCCAGGTAAGTAAAAATTCGATCTTGTTCTTGAGATTTTGAAAATTGAATACAAAAATTAATAACATCTCATTAATAATGCAGGGGGATGTCTATCACATCTAGAAAAGCAGAGTACGTGAGTCAACATGCACCTACTCGCTGTAAAATGTGGTTCATCTGCAAAGGGAAACTCATCAAGACAAGGTAAGTTTGAGGATTACACTCTTTTTTTTTTTGTGTGTGTGTATACTCTTTAAAAGTTATTATTTGTCACACTTTTGTGTTATTTTTTGGTTTAATAGAGAAGGAAGTTTCGACCTTGGAAATCTATCGGATTCGTTCACAGAAGTCCATACTTCTACTCAGAACCCAAACAAAGTAAACGATCATTCTGTAAGCAATGGGAGCGAAGCAGACTGTGTTCCCGAAGATTATATTTGTCCCATTTCAATGGTTAGGATTCAAAACCACCTCTGCATCTTGAAATAGTACTATGCAATGGTTTTTTTTTTGCTCATCATAAAATTGATATTGGTTTAGGACATAATGAGAGATCCTCATGTGGCTGCTGATGGTTTCACATACGAGTACGAGTTTATCCGAAAGTGGCTGATTGATGAAAATAAGAATACGTCGCCAAACACAGGAGCAACGCTCGCTCACCGCAATCTTACCCCAAACTTCACTCTTCGTTCACTCATCAATGACTGGCTGCAGCACCACCCAAATCATAAACATTGAATAATTTATAATAATATTTTGGAGATCATTAAAATGTCGATTATATAGTGAGTTTTGAAATTTCTTTGTGAGAACAATATATGTGAAGCCCTTTATCAAAAAAAAAAAAAAACAATATGTGATATAAAACTTCATATGTTTCATACATTGAGGCTAAGCATCAACTATATGTCTGTAAAATTGCTACCCTCGTTGAGTTTTGTTCATCACCAAATTGGCGGGAAAGAGCCAATCAAGTAAACCCTAAAATGCTTTAAAGTAATGCGCCATGAGCCGTTATAAATGTGACCAGTAGGTCCGTTATAAAGAACTTGAATGCTCATTGGCTCTTGATTCTTGAGTTTCAGTTAGAGCTGCGTTGAACTCGGTGAATGGAGAGAAAGTGGCGATTAAGAAGATCGGTAATGCTTTTGATAACATTATTGATGCAAAGAGAACTCTACGTGAAATCAAGCTTCTCAGGCATATGAATCAAGAGAACGTAAAGCATTAACTATCTTTTCTCATATTAAGTTACTTTAATAATTATATTTTTGGTAGATCTCTCACATGTTACTAATCTTCAAGGGCGAGAAAAACAGAGGATACTCTGTTTTTTTCTTTGATCTTCAATGGCTTGAAAAATAGAGGATACTTTGTTTCCTCTGTTTTTTTCTCTTTAACCTTCAATTAATCTGATCTACAAGTCCTGATTTGATTCTTTAGGTCATAGCCATCAAAGATATTGTAAAAGCTCCTCAACGAGATATATTCAACGATGTCTACATTGTCTATGAGTTAATGGACACTGATCTTCAGCGAATCCTACGTTCAAACCAAACCTTAAGCCATGATCAATGCCGTGTAAGTTTATAATCTGATCTTATGGAACTCTATGGTCTGATCTTTATACTTAACTTTCTTTTTACAGGTCTTAGTGTACCAGCCCTTAAGAGGACTTAAAAATGTGCACTCAGCCAACATATTACATCGTGATTTAAGGCTAAGCAACGTGCTGCTTAACTCGAAACACAAGCTCAAAATCGGTGATTTTGGACTTGCGAGAACAACTTCAGACACAGATTTTATTACTGAGTATGTTGTCACACGTTACACAGCTCCTGAGTTGCTTCTTAACTGCTCAGAGTACACATCAGCTATTGATGGTCTGTTGGTTACATACTCGGCGAAATCATGACGGGAAAAACTTTTTTTCCTAGAAAAGATTATGTTCATCAGCTTAGGCTTATCACAGAGGTAAAAAGCTTTCAGTTTTGAACTTGTCTGAAAAAACCTTGCAGTTACCTCACTTGTTAAATAAACAGCTTTTAGGGTCTCCAGACAACTCCAGTCTCAGTTTCTTTCGTAGTGACAATGCAATAAGATACGTGAGGCAACTTTCAAGATACCCTAAACAACAGTTTGCTGCTAGGTTCTCAAAGATGCAACCTTCTGCTATTGATTTGTTAGAGAAAATACTTGTTTTTGAGACAAACCGCTGAATCTCAGGTAACAACAAAACATTCGTGAGATTGTTGCAGTTTACATTAGGCACATCGCAAGACATTCTTGTTGTGTATAGTCGATGAACCTATTGGCCATGCTTACTTGTCATCGCACCATGACGTGGACAACAAACCGGTGTGTCCAACGCCTTTCAGCTTTGATTTTGAGCATCTTTCTTGCACGGAAGAACACATAAAAGAGCTTATCTACAAGGAGTTTGTCAAATTCAGTTCTGACCATTGAGTAGACCCAACAAAACAAACATGTTTGATGATATCTTTTCAAGTCTCAACATTATTTTATACTATCTAGTTGAATAGTTGCTATGATGATACATCCATTTGTATACATGTATAAGCTACTGCAGAGTTTGAATTTTTTATATACCAATTTATTCAATAGATAGATCATAAAATAATAGCAGACCTCAAATCACACAGTGGTCATAAAGAGTCTTGTCTTTAGGAGAAAGTCTACACATCATGGTTATGTTGAATGTGTCAGATTTAAATAACTAATATATAATAGGAGAAACTGGAACTTGAACTTGGTTCAGCTTTCTACATGTGGTGTTTTTGTTACTATGGGTGAAGTTACTCTTCAGTATCGGATAGAGTTAGCACTGAAGAAGGCAAAAGTCTTTGGTGACTTTTGCAACTGATCAGAATGAATCATGATGACAGACAGTGATACTGATCAACTCTATTACCTTGTAACAGCAAATGAAGATCCAAACATCACACAAAGTCAGCTTACGGAACTAGAAATTTGTCATAACCGGGCATTGTTTGCACATCGGTCTATAGAAAAAGCCCATGAAATCAACATCCTCATAGTTCAAGGGCCTGGGTTCTCGGCCCGAGTTGTGACACCACCCCCTTTAGGTCTTAGATACAATAACAGCTTATTAGTGTTGATTTGGTTTTGCTAATTGTGTGTATGTTAATAAATTGCCAAATTGGAAAGAGGATTAGCTTAATGCATGTGGGCACGTAAATAATTTTCAATAAAAAGAAAAAGGAAACCTATTTTACTGTCCACACGTCTTCAACACTTTAGATTATTGCTCACGTTTCTTTTTTATAAGTCTCTTTTTTTGGTTATAAAAATATCACAGATAAACAATACTTGTACTATAAGTCTCATATCCACCATCATTCTTCTTAGAAAATTCTTCCTTATATTGATAAATAATTCTCCCTCTGGATAAGAAATGATGGGTATATATATAGATGGAAACTAGAATAATAATGAGCTAAGAATTTGATTTGTATACGATTGAATAATTAATTTACTAAGCGTTAGTTGTTTAGGGCCTCACGGAAACAGTGGATAAGATTAAGATTAGATGCCACTAATCATATCATCATTAAATTTTGATTTAAGGAAACAGTCACCATATAACCCAATGTCTTGAATTATTATATATCTAACCGGTTAAATCATAAATGTAAATTGTGCAACTGTGCAAGTAAATATATTATTTACCGATTGTATCATTTTCTCCATAAAAGAAAATAAAATAATCCTCAGTTATGTAGTTTAATCCACTAAAACCAAGCGCAACTTTTTTATCTGACCGAAAATCAACCTTTAAAAAAATTATTAATTCAAAACTAAGATAATAGATATATAACAAAAACTGAAAAAAAAAAAGGAAACAAGGAAATAGCCTTCTTTTTTTTGAACAAAAACAAGGAAACAGCCTATATTTTATTGTTGCAGTGATAAACAATTACCAAACATCTTTACTATTCGGGTAATTGAGTAGTGTTTTTGTGTTTAAATTTGAAAATAGAAGATTTACTACAGATTACACGTCCTATAATATTTGACAACAGAATAAATAGGAGAAAATAATATAATATTTTTTTGTTCAAAAAGGTAAAATATAACTAATGTGTAATTAATTTGCCCAAATTTGTTGGCTTGTTGTGATACAATTAGTTAATAATCAGATATTAATATTTTAAATAATAAAAGAGTAACGTATTTGTTTCTTAATTAAAAGAGTAACCTTATGGTAAAGTGTTTATTATATAGAAAAGAGTAACAAAAAAATAAAAGATAAAAATAAAAGGACAGATGATATAAAGCAAATGTCCATTTCATGTGCTCATATTTACATTTCGAATCATTTTATTTTCTCTCTCTCTCTCTCTCTCTCTCTCTCTCTCTCTCTATCAAACCAAGAAGAAGAAGAAGAGAGAATCGGACATGGCTTCGCCGAGCAAACGCCGAGAGATGGACATGATGAAATTGTATGTTGCTCTATTTTCATCTAATTAATCTCTCGATTTGTCTCCTTTTATTTATATTTATATTGGATCTGTTGATGATGGTGATCTCTTTCTTTCTTATTGTTGTGTAAATCTTCAGGATGATGAGTGATTACAAGGTGGATACAATCAACGACGATGTGCATATGTTTTATGTCACTTTCCATGGCCCCACTGACAGTAATCCCTTCCCTAACTCTCTGTCTCTCTTTGCTTTTTTTTTTTGTCTTTATGCTCTTAGTAGATTTGGTCTGTACAACTTCAGATTCACCATCTATGTATATAATCTTCATAGGAGCAGAGATGAATCTGTTAGATTGAAAATAAGGATAGCGTTTAAGTGCCTTTATCTTTGTTGTTGTGTTGTTGTGTGTGAAGGTCTTTATGAAGGAGGTGTATGGAAGATCAAAGTGGAACTTCCTGATGCTTATCCTTACAAATCTCCTTCTGTTGGTTTCGTCAACAAGATTTATCACCCAAATGTTGATGAGTCGTAAGTCACAGAGAGCTTTATCATTTTTATCAAAGTTGACTCCATATCTAAAAGCGCTATTATGGTTCTCATGTTTTTTGGGCAGTTCCGGCGCAGTTTGCTTAGATGTAATAAACCAGACATGGAGTCCAATGTTTGGTAATATACATTCTCTCTGTGTCTTTTTTTGAATGCCTTTATGATTGTATTTGCATCCGTTAAAACTTGTATCTGTGTTTGTTTGGTCAGATCTTATCAATGTGTTCGAGTCATTCCTTCCCCAACTGCTTCTATATCCAAACCCATCTGATCCTTTCAATGGTGAAGCTGCCTCTCTCTTGATGCGAGACCGTCCTGCCTACGACCTCAAAGTCAAAGGTTTTAAACAATACTCTTCTTACCGAGTTTGCTTCTCTATTCAACCTCTCATTAACACAGTTTGTTATCTTTGGCATTTCTGAAGAATATTGCAAGAGATATGCTAAACCAGAGGACATAGGAGCACCTGAGGAGATCTCAAGTGATGACGACGATGATGATAGCATGAGTGAACGTGGTTCAGACTCTGACAACGATGAAATTGCTGGAAAAGCTGATCCTTGATCACTTCGTTACAAATCAAAATATTTCCTTGTATTTTAATTAGTTCATTTCCGAAAATATAAAGAACCATTGATGTTCATTGCATGGGAGGAGATAAAGAAACTTTCCTCTGTAAATGTGTAAAGACTTGTTTTAATTCTTTAGGATCATTGAAACTCTCTTTGCTTCAAATGTAAATAAAACAATTTGCAAAATCTTACAACAATAAAACATTGATTCAATATCTCATCTTGTTTGTTCTAATCCTCCAATATCCGTTTTTTATACATCAACATATCTAAAGATGGGAGGATACTGCTGACAAAAGGACATATTCTTCTAAATACCAACATACCACCGAAAGGAGAATATTATTATTTGTTTACTAGATTGCTAGATTGCTTTCACCTTTTAAGAACTAAGGATAAAAGAGGTTTAATCTGTCTACAAATGGCTCGGCCTTCTTTTACCAGAATCAGTCCTTAACCTCTTAACCGGATTAGCCCATCCCACTGAATCACCAGCCGCACCGCTGTTGTTTGGATGAGCGGCGGCTTGGTTTGGCCATCGTTGCTGCTGAGCTAGCCTTGTCTCCCTTGTAACTGAACCAGACACAGGACTTCTAAGACCACGACCTACCATAGCCGGAGGTGACACCGGGCTGCTGGAGCCACCGGCGGTTCGGGTTCTTGGAGCAGACTTTTCTCTGTCTTTCCTCTTCTTCTTGCAGATTACTAGTTCCCCTGGATGAGTTAAAACTGGAGAGTCGTCGGCATGGCTTGATGTCCCGCCGAGCTTTGTTTCTTTCTGAGGTATTTGTACTCTGATCCTTGCATTCTCGCGTTGTTGAGGTCTCTGAGGAGAGCTTGGCTCTGGTTCCTCCTCATCATTTACCGGTTTTTGCTTCTTACCCTGACTAATACCTGCTGCTCTTGGGGACAGTGTGGATACCAACGTTGGGGATGGGCCAGAGAAGGAAAGAGCATTCCTTGCTTCCCGAAAATCTGAATCTGGAAAAGACATCTTCAGCAGATCAAAGAAGAGATTATGAACCTTCCTTGCTTCAGATCTCACCTGCGGAAGATTTAGTCACATTTAAACTAATTCCATTTGGCTTATATATATATATATATCTAATACACAAAATCCAAAGAACAAAAATTAAAACCTCGTGTGAGAATCCATAGAATTGCATTGCTCCCCTTAGCATATACTGCACGTCAGATGCGAGTTCCATAACCCCTGCGTACTCTAACCTTTCTAACCGGTGATCTATCTCTCGCAGTTCCAAAAGATTATTCACGCCTCCAGCTGCATAACCAGTCTGGATTCTCTTCCACAAATTTGTCAGCATAGGCACAATTTCCTGACCTTCCTTGTCGATTCTCCTTTGGAGTTTGCTAATGACGTTTTTGCACTGCACAGTCAACCAAAGGGTGAGTTCAGTCCAACCAAACAAAATATAAGAGAATGCAATGAAATCAAGAACATACCCGTTTCTGTATGTTGTGGGACATTCTTGCACCTGCATTTGAAGAGCCAATAGGACTCGTTCCATCCCATGTCTCTCTGGTAGCTTCAGTGTTGTCTTCCACGGCAAGCTGTGTGGCATTCAATCTACCAGATTTTGGTGATGATACATGCAGCTTGGAAGTATTAGCTACTTTCTTTGCAGGTAAACTCCTAAGTCTCGAGGATGAATCACTCTGTTCTTGTCTTGAACCATGTGAGTCAACAACTGTCCTCAATTTTGATCGATAGCTACGATCGACTTGCAATGACTGAGCTGCAGGCATATCAATACCGTCTGTTCTTTCTGTTGTTTGACGGGGTCTTAGACGAATACTCCGTTTCCGTTTTATTGTAGGTTGCAAAACCTGTTCTTCCCCTTCTTCACGGTCATGGGCCCA